GGGGGGGGGGGTGCTGTACGGGTCAGAGACGGGGACTGGGGAGTAATTCAAGATGGCGTGACTGAGTGAAAGCTTAAATTGTAGATTCTAAGATTGAATAAAACCGTTGAGTTTGAGTACATTATATTGGCGACGAGGACTAAAATTACAACAACATTTTACTCTGGAAACATTGGAATTGATAAGGGACACGATACACGTTGGATTTTATAAAAGCGTTTAAATTTTTTATTAAAATATCACGTTTGAAATTCAGAAATTGAAATCGGAAAATCGATAAAAATTTTGGGAATAATCCAATATGGCGACTGCATTGGATTTGTCAGATTTGGGAAATTTTGATCCGTATTCGGATCCAACTACATTGTCTCTACGATGGAAAGAATGGTTGCGGCGCCCGCGGCGGTAGGAAGTACGAACGGTTTCTGGTTGCTATGGATATAAAAGATGATACTCGGAAACGTATTGTTATAGGAAGCGGCCAGCGGGAACTGACGAAGTAGAAAATTTTTTTGCGACGTTGTCTGAGGTAGGGGAAGACAAAGATTACAAGAAAGCGGTTGAAAAGCTGAACGAGTATTTTTTACCTAAGAAAAATGTGTTACTTGAAACCCGTAAATTTCGACAGTTAAAACAAATAACTGAGGAAACAATTGATCAATATTGTACCAGGCTTAGACAACAAGCCACCATCGGTGAATTCTCTAACAGTGAAAATGAGCTTAAAATACAGCTTGTTGAAGGATGTTTATCATCGCGAGTGAGAAGAAAAGCCATTCAGGATGATTTATCATTAGCAAACATATTAGCATATGCAAGATCTCTTGAAATAACAGATAAAGCTGTCAAAATATTAGAAGAAGTTTTTCCTCCTCGAGTGCGGTTAATGCTATACATAACCAACAAGAAAAGTCGAATCAATATCATCAACGAACGAGCACAGACAGCCACATCAATCAGCAACCCAGTATCCTACAAGAAATCGATACTCCTACCCACTCAAGAATGCGGATCGAGAAAATTCACATGAGCAGCAACAGAATGGTAAGAAACTATGTTATAATTGTGGGGAAAATTATTATGCAGGTCATCTTAGGTTGTGTAGTGCAAAGGGAAAATCTTGTTTTGCATGTGAAAAACAAAATCATTTCGCGTCTATGTGCCGTAGTCGTCAAAGGAATAATATTCCAGAAAAGAGGAGAACATTCAAGCCATTTGTTGTTACCCCACCAGTAGAAAATGAGGTTCCCCCAAATGCACGAGCAGTTAAAACCATTCCAGTTATTATTGAAAGGACTCATGTTAAAATGATTGTTGACACTGGGGCAACAACAAACATTTTAGATTCCAAAGCATATAATGACATCAAAAAGAAAAACCCCAGTTTACATTTGAAACCATCAACACACAAAATTTATGCTTACATGCAGTCTAAACCTTTGCCAGTCCTTGGGAAATTTGAAGGACTTATTGAGTCCAAACACAGAATGGCTGTTACAACATTCCATGTTGTAAACGGGGACGGTGGGTCATTACTACTGTAAGTTGTTCCACAGTCACAGAGCTTGATATTGTGAAACTGAATGTGCATGCTGTTGTTACCCTAGTTCTAGATCCTACACCGATCCTCGAGAGGATCATAAACAGTTTGGCAATGAGAACCCAGAAATTCCTAAGAATCATCAACCAGACTCACCAATCATGTCAAAGCTTAAAAAGGAATACCCATCAGTCTTTAATGGCATTGGGAAACTAAAGGGTCATGAAGTACACCTACACCTTAAAGATTATGCTAAACCTATTGTGCAAAAACCCCGAGAGATACTTTTTCATAAGAGATACTTTTTCACAGACATATAATAAACGGGAAGAACTAGAAAAAAGATATTATTGAATTTGTTCCAGAAGGGACACCTACACCTTTTGTATCAAATCTTGTTGTTGCACCAAAGCCTAATAATCCAGCTGAAGTCAGAGTATGTATAGACATGCGACATATGAACCCAATGATAGAGCGAAAACGTCATGTTATCCCTAATATTGGGGAACTCTTTGAGGACATGGCTGGTGCTACTATGTTTTCAAAAGTGGATTTGACAGCTGAATTTCACCAGTTACCTCTTGACGAGGAGTCACGATCTCTTACCACATTTCACACCCACAAAGGTCTTATGCGATATAAACGTTTATGTTTCGGAGTAAATTCAGCACCAGAGCAATTCCAATATGCTATTCAACAAACACTCCAAGGACTGGAGGGAGTAAGGAACATTGCCGATGATATTATTGTGTGGGGAAAGTCCCAGAAAGAACATGATACACACCTTGAAGCTCTCATGAAACGACTCTCAGAAAACAATCTTACCCTTAATGTTTCTAAGTGTAAGTTTAATGTAGACAGCATTTGGTTCTATGGTTGCACATTATCAAAGTATGGCATTTCTGCAGACAAAACCAAAATTGCAGCACTAGTTAACATGAAAGAACCAGAAGATGTTTCCCAGTTGCGCAGTTTCTTGGGATTGGCAACATATTGTGAACGGTTTATTAATAACCTGGCAACAATCGCAGCACCATTACGCGAGTTAACCAACAAAGGAGTTGTTTGGAAATGGACAGGTAGGCACCAACAAGGATTCAACAAAGTTAAAGAAGAAATTGCGAAAGATTGTACCACTGCTTTTTATGACCCATCTAAACGAACTCGAGTAACAGTTGACGCAAGCCCAGTCTGATTTTGGCCATTTTATCACAGTTTGATAGGGAAGACAACGAGCGAATTGTTGCGTATGCAAGCCGTAGTCTCAGCAAGGTTGAACAGCGATATTCACAAACTGAAAAAGAGGCGCTTGGAGTTGGTTTTGGTTGTGAGAAGTTTCACATGTATCTTATTGGAATTGAATTTGAGTTGGATATGGATCATAAACCGTTAGAAGTTATATACGATCCCAAAGCGAAGCCATCTGCGCGGATTGAACGATGGGCTCTCCGGTTACAACAGTACCAATTTAA